GGGAGTTCCCAGTCGTGCCCTTGTTTCGACGAGTCACTGCTTGGGGGCCCCACTCCAGGCTCGGGAGTCGGACTTGGGAGGACGTCGGGAAGAAAGACCACCAGAAGACTCTAGCTTTCGGGATGAATGGACCCTGGCTAATTCGGATTAGATGGCATCGACGAATGGAGGCCTCCTCTGTATCATAGAACTTTGCAGATGAAACCCTGGAGTTTCAATAATTCCACGAAACTTGAAATGAGATGCACGCGTCTCCAATGATTAAATGAGGGCAGACCATGGTTGACGGAAGAGTTCAGCCTTAAAGCTATATCCATGACAAGAGAGTGGGCATGACGTCGAACTAAATGAGACAACTCTTCATGCGATTGAAACTGGCTGAATAAGACCTCTATCCCTCAAAGTGTTTGGACATCCTCATCCACCGCTGAGATGATGGTAGATTGAGGTAAGGAGCGACAAACAGCTATATCCATGTGAGAAACTCATCTTCAATTAAAAAGCTGAATAAGACCTCTTGAGTGCTGGCATCCTCATCCAAAGTCTAGGACTGAAGATATGGGGGTGAGCTGCATCCGAAAATCTAGGTGAAGATAGGGCATCCTTAATCCGTTTAAGACTTTTAAAGGCATGATCCAAGGAGGTAGTGATATGAGCAATACAAGGCCGTGGTGGGAAGGTAATAGATGTCAAGTCTCGTTGTCTCATGGAGAAGGAATGAGATAAATCCTCTGGATTCTGAGACATAGGGAGGTGGAGTTTTTCCACTATCCAAGCTAAAACTTGAGGCTCATCGACAAAATCCAAACTTCCCTCTGGGGAATCCACAACGGAATGGGCTGGAGACGTGGGATCAGGTGGAACACCAGGACTAGGCACTGTAACAGATGGTCCAAGGGAAGGAGCAGTCCCCGTAGAGTGAGCAGCCTGTTGTTGATTCCAAGCGGTAGTAAGAGCACTTAACATTGCAGTCAAATCTGGGGGAGTAGTAGTGTCCTGCACTGGAGTCCAGGAATCCGGTACAATCCGAGTAGAAAGACGCGAGGAGGCAGGAGTCCCATCAGAAGTAATAGCACGCTGAGATCGCAACTCGGAAGAACGTTGATTAGATCGACGATCCGTAGAACCATATCTATGTCTGGAGGGGGACGAACCAGGAGATGATGCACAAATGGAGACCCGCTGAGGAGAACGGGAACGAGGAGGGGAGATATCACCATGATAACGACGATCCCTGGATTTTAAGCGATAGGCAGCAGTCAATCGTGTAGGAGTTCGAGGTTGACGGGTCGAGTGCGCAGAACCGGAAGTCCCATGATGACGAGAAGACGAATTCCGAGGGGGTGACATGGAACGAAGAACCGATCTCAAGGTGGAGAGGGAGATGTGTGCTTGGTTGAATGCAAACGAGTCGAAGAATGGCGTCTCGGCGATGAAGTAGACCGATTAGGTTTATCCGGTGAACAAATCCGAATAATAATAGGAGACTGATCCCGACGACTCGGTGAAAGTCGCGATCGTGCTGAGGAGGCGTGACTGTAGGATCCAACAGAGTTCGAGGACTTACTCAAATGATCCTACGAAAGGCATTCCGCTGAATACTGCTTGGAAGAAGGCCGTTTCGGCGAAAGTCTATTCACCACATGTCGTTTCGGTGAAGTCTTCCGTTTCGGCAAACGTTGTTTCGACGAAGTACGAGTAGGTGAGCAGACGATCGATCCGGAGAAAGCTGATTCTTAGACTGGTGTTTCGATGAAGACCGGTTCGGTGAACACTGTTTCGTAGAAAGCCGGTCTAATTCTAGGGAAGGTGGACAGTCTGGGGAAAGTCCAGGTGGAGGGAAGCGGTCAGGTGAGACGTGATCTGACACACTGTGATTTGATCTAGTGAATTAGAAGGTCGAGGTAGCTGGACACGTGACACACTTCTTTCCGCCGAATTGGAAGGAGACGGTGAAGTAACCACTGACAGGCGGTGAGGCGAGGTAGACTGGTTTCTCTCACTACTGGATGAACGGCGAGAGCGAGAACGGCTTCTGCGCATGCGCTGTGTGCAGTCAGGTGTAGAGATCAGCTGATTCTTGTCCGAAACAGATAAACCAGGTTGCTGAGATAACTGGTCCGGTGAACGCGAGACAGAGAGCGTAGTTCGAAGGTCCTGCTGTGCAGAGGTATCTTGAGGAGTGCTAGCAGTCTCAACAACCACTACCCGGGACGTGGTCGAAGACGAAGGACTCGGGCTGGAAAGTTGAGAGCCCAACAAATGCCGAACATCCTCCAATAAGTAAGAATCTGACGACGCCCTTATGAAATCCTCTTCATTTGAGTGAGGAGACTGTGACCGCCGAGCATGTAACGTAGGACGCTTAAACTTTCCTTTCTTGGAGGGACTGGATCCATCTAGTGAAGCAGCATAACGAGCTCTGTCAGCAACACGACGAGCGCAAGCCCGAGTATAGTCCCCAAACGCCTCGAAGGTAAGGTCCTTGCATTTATCGCAACGGGAGTCCCATTTACATTGTCCCATACAGTCCACACAATAGCCATGTGGATCACATGCGGAGAACACTTTATTACACCGGGAGCATTTTTTCCTCTTCTTAGGTTGGTCAACTTTCCCCATGTTGTAGACAAAGTCGAAAACGTTGAGCAAAGTAACATACGTCCACACTCGTGTGCGACAAGAAAGAGAATGATGATTCGGAGATAGTCACGTGGGCAGCTAGTGGTGCATGCCGCATGCTTTGCATGAGAGCTAGGAAGATGTCTTATAATGAGGGTAGCATGGAGTGCATCGGCGGATGGACAAGACAGGCCTAAGGAAAAAAGTTTACATCGTTCCACTCAGTGTCGAATCAAGAGAGAGAAGTGCATACCGTGAGATAGGATAAGTTTAAACATTTAAAGTGTGATGAAACCTATCCACGGCCGTTGGATGCAGTTGGCCTATCAGTCCGCCTATCTTCCCCCAAGTTGTTGTCATTGCTTAATTGATGGATGTATTGTCTCGATCTGTTTATATGAACTGGTGATTTATAAAGAGTGAGTGTGAGTGAGTGAGTTTAGTTTTACGCCGCACTCAGCAATATACCAGCTATATGGCGGCGGTCTGTAAATAATCGAGTCTGGACTAGACAATCCAGTGATCAACAGCATGAGCATCAATCTGCGCAATGGGGAACCGATGACATGTGTCAACCAAGTCAGCGAGCCTGACCACCCGATCCCGTTAGTCGCTTCATACGACAAGCATAGTCCTTTTGTGGCAAGCATGGCTTGCTGAAGACCTATTCTACCCCGGATCTTCACGGTACGAATAATAACGAGATAATAAGACACGTCATTTGTTGATTGTTCATTGTGTTTGACTAGCAAATCCAATTTCGAGATTTACAGTATTTTATGAGATCTTTGCTGTGACTTACATAACATACACTGTTGGGGGAAGGTGACTTTTACAGCACTGTACCTGCTGATTGTGGGTAGCCTAAAGAATCGTACTCATGTTGCTAGACGAAAAACCATCTCAACCAAAGTGAGTGAGTGAGTTAAAATTTTACATCGCATCGGCAATATTACAGCCATATAGCGATGAACTGAACCAAAGAATGATCTGATGACATCAAATATGTAGGCTAGAGATCCAACCTCTAATACCCTATAGATTGCATTTCAATATTTCCAAATAAATACGAAACTTCTCAATCAAGACGCTGCACAGTTTTTCTATCATTTGTAATATAAAATTGTGTGAGAAGCGATGGGATAGCCTAGTGGTTAACCCCGAAGCCTCTGGGTTTCATTCCTCACATGGGTACAATGTGTGAAGCCCATTTCTGAAGTCCTCCGACAAGACGTTTCTGGCATATTGTGAAAAGCAGCGCAACACTGAACTCAGTCGCCATCTTTATCTGCCACACGTGAAAGTTACTGCGGATATTTGGAAAAATTATTGAATTAGAAGTTATATGCCTGTTAACATCGGTAGGTGAAGTCTTCAACAAGACATACAATATACTCCACAGGTAAAAAAATATATTGATAAAAGGTCTGATCTCCATCGCCTGGTCTGAAACCTCGACTGCACTCCAATAACATCACCAGTTTTCAAACACCAGATTGGTTAAGTACTTTCAAGGCTTTCCATGAATGAAAAATTATGTTTTGGTGCACATTTCTTGGATGAGACGTTAACACACAAGTAAATGAAACTTTGAAACGTATTCACAAAATTAAGAATGTTTGTCAAATGCTAGCAGTCTCACTATATTACTCCTTTTCTTCCTCATCACCAAGATGCTAAAATTCGGAATGATGACATACTGTGCAGTACAGAACATTTTAAATCAATTTAGTCAAATCATTTCCTGGGATTTCCCATAAAGAAGACATTCATTATCCTAGTGTAAGTCATTAAGTTAGGTGTGAAGCCCATTTCTGGTGTCCCTCGCAGTGATGTTGCTGGAATATTGCTAAAAGCCGCGTAAAACCAAACTCAGTCAGTCAGTCAATCATTAAGTTTTGTTTTAAACATATTTTATTCACTGAGAAAAGGATTAGGAACAAGTTCTCCAACTTAGAATACCCTCTCCTTGGTATGTACATAGGTAATTTAGGTTTCCGCAAATAAAGATGACAGATAGCGGACAAGAAAGTAGAATAAGTTACAAGAGATAGAGCTTATACAGAATAATATCAATATGCTATACAAATCATTGAGTTAGGCAGAATAGTTTGAGGAAGACCATAACTTTTGACATGAAATATCAAAAACAAATTCCTGGGCAATAATGAGGGTGTGCATGATATTATGCAACTAGGATGGCCAAACACAGTTTGGTTTTAAAATGTCAGTATAGTAGCGGGGAAGTCAAATTCAGGCCAAACTTAAAAATAAATCCAATTTCTATACTAATTACTAAATCTTTCCCAATCAGTCTGATGTTTTCCCAAACTAAAGATGTCTAGATAGAAATCCCTGATGTATTCCTGACCACTCACCACTGGCGTTGTAGGCAGCGGGGGAAACTGGAGATGTCAAGATCGCAGCAATTTGGGAATGGCGATACCTGGAAGGAGGCGAATTCACACTGCGGGTGATGGTGATTGAGTCTGTGATGACATCATCAGTGTCATCATCTGAGTCCAAGAGCGTGATAGGGCTGTCTTCCTGCCCAGACATGATGTCTGCTTGCTTCTCACATCTGAAACAAGGTAACAAAGTGAGTGAGGTTGGTTCAGCTCCACTAGCAGTTACAGAATGTCAGTTGGTAAGAACTTCCAGGAGTTTACAGATGAGAATGATATTTATGATCTGGTTAACATTTACATGGAACATTCTCTTCATGATGCTATTTCTTAAAATGTAAGTCAGGGCTCGATTTATGAGATGTTAACCTACTTAAATCAGGTGCAACCTAAGATAAAAACCGAACCGCACTGCTTTTATTGCACAATGTAATGTAAGAGATATGCTATTGAATTATTTAGATGTTTTATTTAGAGTTTACTAGGGCTGCGCAATATAACCAGTTTACCGGTACTTACCGGTTCAGACATGAAAACGATACGTATTGCGATACACTGATCGAAAACCGGTATTTTGGGTCTACTCCCATTTGTGAGAACTCCCAGTTGTGAGACTCCCAGTTATGAGACATTGGAGTCGGTAATTAACAACGAAAACACACCATACTCCCCTGTCTGATAGAATGGATTCACCCTAGGTAATTACTGATTTGCTATGTAACTGAATCTTGTGGAGGTAACCTAGTGAAACTTTATAAGATAAATTGATTAACATACTCAGGTAAATGTCTTTAATAATTAAATACTTTGTGTAGGTAACTACGTGATCAAAGAGAACTTAATTTACCTACTCAGATTTACTCCGTCTCCGAAACTACAAGCTATAGTTTAAGAAATAACTCTGAAATAACTCTGAAATTTACAGTCGTAACTGAATCTTGTGGAGGTAACCTAGTGAAACTTTATAAGATAAATTGATTAACATACTCAGGTAAATGTCTTTAATAATTAAACACTTTGTGTAGGTAACTTCGTGATCAAAGAGAACTTAATTTACCTACTCAGATTTACTCCGTCTCCGAAACTACAAGCTATAGTTTAAGAAATAACTCTGAAATAACTCTGAAATTTACAGTCGAAATGCCCCTTATGGCAAACCCTTTCTACCGACACAATAAATTTATGGGATGCCCTACCAAATTCCAAAGAGTCATGCAGTCTCAAAGAATTTTAAAACCTAATTACAAAAACCGAAAACAAGACTTATATTGATCTTAATTATGGCTCTTGTTTTTGTCAAATCATTCACTGCTGCCTCAGGCTCGGATGTAGCGACCCAAACGCTGATAAGTATTACAGACATTTAATAGACAGTGCATGTTGCTCTTGTGGATAACAACTACCCGTTATAACCTGGAAATTTTTTTGAATGGAAACAAAGAATTCACTCCTTGTGTACACCAGAAAATAGTTGAATCCGTCCATGATTATATCATCAAGACACAACCTTCAAATTTTCACAGGGAAATACTGAAATTAACTCAACAACCTTCTTGTGATTGATTTATATTCCTACAATAGCTTGTTAGACACACACAACTGTAAGTCTCTAATTATGACTACCGTATATGACCGTCTATAAGACGACCCCATGGATAAGACGACCCCCAAACTTGACCCTTAAAATCAGTGTCAAAATGGTATGTTTCGTGCATAAGTCGATCCCCCGCGATGAGGTCCTAATCGCAGCAAACACAGACCAAAGACAACTGGCAGTTACCAATAATTATAACTTTGGTCCACATTATTCAAAGAAATACTGCGTCTACTCACGGATCGAAACGAAGTGTAGTTGACAGAAAATGCATAATATATTTTGTTTCTCTAAATATCATATAGTAGTATATACAAAGATTTTCCGAGACCAAGTCCAACAAAAGCCTCTGTAAAGCTTTATTTCACAAATAAAGCTTTTGTCAGGCCCTTAAATCTCGCCCCCATTGTATATACTACTTTTGAACCCCCAGTTAACTTCCCGACCCCAATAGTATCCTGTAACCAGCTCGCATTAAACTGTTTCCTGTCAACACGACATAGGGTAATCACAATAGTGCCATGTGATCAGGAAAGTGCTAGTTCACGGTCATAGCGACACTATTGTGTCACATGGGGTCGGGAAGTTAACTGGGGGTTCAAAAGTAGTATATACAATGGGGGCGAGATCTAAGGGCCTGACAAAAGCTTTATTTGTGAAATAAAGCTTTACAGAGGCTTTTGTTGGACTTGGTCTCGGACAATCTTTGTATATACTACTCATATTTATTGTAGCAACAAACTGGCTTGCTTATTTTACCCCATTCAACAATCATGAACTGATTACCGCCTCGTTTTCCATTGACTGCTAGTTTACAGTAACATCGGTAAAAAATGTGTGAATTTAAATGGCTTCCGTATTTTACCCCATTCCATGTGCGTACAACTTCTGCTTACCACGTTCATGAGGGTCTGTATAACCTTAGTGTTGATTATATATATTTTACATAAAAACTGTAATTAAAATTACACAATGCTAGGTTATATTTCTTTGGGTTAAATAATAGTACTCTGTATTATATTTTACTGATGACTGCATCAGAATTCGTCCCGCTATATTATTGTGCATGTTTTAACTTGATCGCCGGGAAACATGTGCCCAGCTGATTGCTATTTCCGGCTCAGATACACATGGTAATCTTAATCCCTGCAAATAATACAATGCCCACCAAAAACAACTTAGAACTTAAAAGGTAAATAATCTTGTCTAGTGATGTTTAATTGCAAATTTGACGTCTCTACTGACAAAGTCGTCTTCTGTTGTTTGTTCACGCGAAGTGATACGATGTTGTTTTCTTACCTCTGGAAAAAACTTTGACAAAAGCGTAACCCATGGATAAGACGACCCCCTTCTACAGACTGCTTTTTATGGTCCTCAAAATTCGGCTTATAGACGGTCATATACGGTACTTAGAAAATAGTTGTATTTGATGTAATCTGTATATATATATATATATATGTACTGAAAAATATATTTCATTTTATATTTTATGTTGCATGGGAGCGGTGTTAACATAAGCAGTAATACTTCACCAATCCCAATTCATTTTCATAAATAATAATAAAATATGTTTAAACCAAAATGACTTTCAAACTTCATAATAGTCAATAAAAATGTGTTATCATAATTACATATTCTTTTGAATAAATAAAATATTCAATGAACTATTTCTTCTGTTTAAATATAATCTTTGATAATCTATTTCATTAATCAATTCATCAATGAACTATGCCTCCTGTGGGTACTAGGCTGGGCTGATCCCACTTTCATTGTAGGGATGTTGAAACACCACCTATGTGCACTGAACCATTAATTAATGTGTCTCACAACTGGGAGTTCTCACAAATGGGAGGACACTGTATTTTGATATGCATTCGGAAAACTTTGTAACACTCGGAAATCTTCGGATATTTCCGTTTTTTAAATTGTTCCTTTCCTTGTTTCATTTGTGCCAAACATTATTTACATTTTTATTTTGTCATGATTAAAAGTTTTTATTAACGCCTAATCAAGCATTGTGATTTTGCTGCGTTTTTGCTTTATAAATCAAGCATTAACTCGATTATACATATTTTTTGTTAAAGAAATCTTCTTGCAATATATTGCAATACATATCACAATACATGCTTTCGCATCGCAATTTATCGCAATATGAAAATTCCTTGCAATGCCCACCCCTAGAGTTTACCCACTCAAAAATTGAGTTGCACCTGGTTCAAGTTAGACTACTCACTAGGCTGCACTTTGTAATATTGGGTTGCACCAATGCAAGTAACAAAGCACTAAATCGAGCCCTGTAAGTATATTCTAGTTTTGATTTGATTTGAACTCCTGTCTAGTGGTGTTCCGATGATTGAAAATCAATCGAAAGAAGGTTTATAAATAATTATTGATTATAAAAAACATATTTTCGATTAATCAGAATTTTGTTGTTTTAGTATAACACATTTGAACCCAAACTAACCATTAAATTTGACGAATATTCAGGATCCTCATGAATGATGGTATATATATTTAATGATATAAATAGAATAATCAAGTCATGAAAAGATGACAGTAAGCAATGTAAAATTTAACCACTTTTATTGTTTAATTATGATTCCAGTGTCTTTCTTGCATGCATTTCATTGCTTGACAGTATTAGTTATAAAAAACAAGCCATTAATTAGAAAAAAACTGGGGAAAACCTTAAAATTGGTGATTACATTAAAAATGTATATATTTCGATTGTAATCGATAATCGTTCACCACAATCCTCTGATAATCGATAGTGGATTTGGTTTCTGATTCCCAACACTAGTCTTGACAACAACCATATCATATTTCAATGTAATGAGCAAATAGTCTTAAAAACACCAATATCTTTTTCAAGAGAGTAACCACTCCATCATTGTCCCTCGGGTTGGTAGACTGTCAGTTTTACATTAAAGGTCACATGCAACCAAAAAATCAAACATAATTAAAACACAATAATCACTTATCCATGACACATTATATACATTGCTGATTATGAAAAAACATATAAACAAAATTATAAGCTGCAAAATTTTGTACTTGGGTTTACTTCCCTAGAAACGTAGCAGCCGTGATACTGAACCGGTGTTGTCCCACGAGGCCTAAAATTATTCAATTAGGTAGGTACCGTTCATGAGGCTATGTGGGACTTCTTCATGCCTCACTGGTTTTATGGGATTACGGTGGATTATTGCTGGACTGGCCAATTATTGACCACAGAAGGGGTGAATCATAAGAAACAACAAAAATCAAATATGATTTGAGTCAGAGCGGGTGGGTGTGCACTCAATTGTAACGGCTGGTTCATTTGCAGATGCCCTCACGGCTCATTGTGTGTGTATATATAGAGATGTTGGGTTTTGTAAATACATACACATTTTTTGTGTATAACATTTTGCAATCAACAGACATCACAACATGTCATGTGTACGAGTATCACACCTGCCTGTGTGTGTAATTACATAATGTGACAGAGACCGAACTCGGGCCATAAATCAATGCGTTTTGTTTATGGTGTATAGCCTGATAGGTGTTAAGTTCAAATTGCATGTGGTCAGTGATCAAAGT